GGCGAGGAGGACGAGGGCGAGGAGGACGAGGACGAGGAAGGAGGAGGAGGAGGAGGAGGAGGAAGAGGAGGAGAAGGAGGAGCAGGAGGGGGACGAGGGCGAGGAGGAGGAGGGGGAGGAGGAGGAGGAGGAGGAGGAGGAGGAGGAGGAGGAGGAGGATGGGGAGGAGGAGGATGAGGAGGAGAAGGGGGGGAGGAGAAGGAGGAGGAGGAGGTAAGAGGACGAGGAGGACGAGAAAGGAGGAGGAGGAGGATGAGGAAGGACGAGGAGGGCGAGGACGAGCAGCAGCAGCAGCAGCAGCAGCAGGAACTGGAGAGGGAGAAGCGGGAGGAGCGGGAGTGCCAGGGGAAGGCGGAGGAGGGGGAGAGAGCGGGGCGACAACGATCAGGAACCACTCGAGTCCGTAAAAGAAGAGGGACGAAGGATGCGGAGACAAGCCCAAACGACGAATCATATCACCTCCCCCTCCTCCTCCTCCTCCTCCTCCTCCTCCTCCTCCTCCGCCTCCTCCTCCCATCCTCCTCCTCCCTCCTCCTCCTCCTCCTCCTCCTCCTCCCTCCTCCTCCCTCCTCCTCCTCTCCTCCTCCTCTCCTCCTCCTCCTCCTCCTCCTCCTCATCCTCCTCCTCCTCGCCTCTCCTCCTCCTCCTCCTCCTCCTCCTCCTCCTCCTCCTCCTCCTCCTCCTCCTCCTCCTCCCCCTTCTCCTCGCCCCCTCCTCCTCATCATCATCATCTTCCACGGCCTGTCCCAGCCCATTTTGTCGCCGACGTCGTGGTCCTCTTCAGGGTCGGCGGCACCAGCCGTCAGGCCTTCGCAATCACGCTTGTGGTATCGAAACATACCCTGGGAGAGGCACATGCGCCCCTGGCAAGAGGGAACAGGTACGTGTGGCCGGTGCCAAGGGGAGATCAGGACGCCCAGGTCATTTGTAAGGGAGTGGGATGGGGAAGGGCGAGAAAGAGCATCACGTGGACATGAGGACGACGACGACGACGACAGCGACAACGAGTGCGACGACGACGATAGGATAACCATGATGACGAGGGTGCAGGCCGACAGGATCAGGTCGGTGATGAGTTGGAGCCACCCTAGCCAAAAAAAACCTGTCTGGGGATACTGGCCTCTGGCTATTTTTTTGTCCTCCGAGGTCGCACGGGCTTTGATCGGCTTTTGCGATGCAATGTGATGCGTCGGCCGACCACTGCCGGTCTGAATGGTGTCGCGGCTGCTCGCTGCACCAGAAACAGATGCGCGAGTCTGAACCTTGGTGTCACCCGAGCGACGCTGCAGAACAATACTCATCTATCGGGCAAATGTGCCCAGCGAAAACTGCTCACGGATCGAACGCAAACGGAACTCAAGGCGCTCTCGCGTGGCCACAGAAAAACAATCATTCTGACAAGCGATCCAGCACCCTTTGCATCACAAAGCCTTCACCCCGTGCGTGGCACACCACATCGCCCCTGCGATGTCTCCGGCGCCCGAAAATCGGGCGGGCTTCTATCGGCTGTTGAGATGCGATGCGGTGAGCGACCGCAGCCAATCTGAATGGTGTCTCGGCTGCTCGCTCCACCAAGGATCGATGCGCGAATCTCTATCTTGGTGCCGCCCGCGCGACACTGCAATGCAATCCTCGCCGTTCCGCCCTGGAGGCGTGGTAGAACGACAAGTAGTGTCTGGTAGGGGTAATCTTCTAGTGGGTCCCTCCCCGTACTGTTGGCGGCGCGCGGAGAGGGGTTGAAGGAGGGGGGACGGCTTCCTGGGATGAGGCTGCGTCTAGAGCGCTACATACGTGCACCAACCCCGCCCAAGCCCGAGGACCCCTGGTCTGCTAGTCGGCCCCCTGGGAGCCCTCCGGGCGGTGCGAAATGCCCAAGACGGCTTCCGGTACGGCCCAGGCAAGCTCCCAGGCCCGCCGAGATGGTCCAGTGTGCCTCCATGGCGACACGCGACGACTCCGAGACGGCCCAAGAGGGCCTCAAGACTGCAAGAGGCTCCGGAGGTGGCCCAAGATGACTCCAAGAAACCACCAGGAGGGCCCGCAGAGGCCAGAAGCATTGACTGCGGCTCGAGGGGCCTCCAGAATGGCCCCGCGACGGCCCGAGAGGTCCCGAACGTGACCCGCGCGGCCTGCAGGACGGGGCCCTCTGACGACCAGGGGCATCCCCAAGAGAGCCCCGAGCTAGCCCAAAGAGGGCCTCCGGAGAGACCCGAGACGACATTGGCGAGCCCGTCGACGGCCCAACACGGCGCCAGTACGGCCCCGCGGCGGCTCCAAGACGACCCCAGGCGCCTCCAAGATGGCCCCACACCGGCCCGGCTCGGCCTCAGGATGGCCCAAGAGGCCTCCGAGACGGCCTTCAGGGCGACCTGAGAGGGCCCCGGGACACCCCAGGGCGGACCCGATAGGGCCTCAAGCTGGCCCAAAGGGGCCTCCAGAGGGACCCAGGGCGGCCTAAGGCGACCCCTGGGCGGCCCGAGAGGGCCCCACGACGGCCCCAAGAGAGCCCCAGACGGCCACAACGGCACCAAGGGAGACACAAGACGGCCCAGGAGAGCCCCGAGGGACCCCCAGGACTGCCCCACAGGAGCCCAGGACAGCCCCAAGACGGCGGCACAAGTGAGGTACATGAGGGCTCCTCGAGGACTACAGACGAAAGGCGTCACATGTGGCGGCTTTCCCATTCTTCCTCTTCCTCCTCCTCCTCCTCCTCCTCCTTCATCCATCCCTCCTCTTCCTCCTCCTCCATCCCTCCTCCTCCTCCTCCTCCTCCTCCTCCTCCTCCTCCTCCTCCTCCTCCTCCCTCCCTATACTGCTTTCCTTCTCTTCCTCTCCTCTCCTCCTCCTCCTCTCTCCTCCTCCTCCTCTCCTCTTCCTCTTCCTATTCCTTCTCCTCCTCCTCCTCCTCTTCCTCTTCCTCCTCCTCACTCCTCCTCCTCCTCCTCCTCCTCCTCCATCCCTCTTCCTTGTAGATATTTCCTCCCTGTCGCACCCCGAGGCTGGTGGAAAGGGCGGGCTGGGCGTTTCGCCTGAGACTTCCTCACCATGTATGATCCCGAAGCTTGAAATTTGCAGCAATTTCACGGATGGAGGGCGGTCCGCTTTCAAAATGTGGCCCTCGCCTTAGTGCCGCGCACGCGCGTCTTAAGCAATTGCAAGAATTTGGCGGATGGTGGACGGTCCGCTTTCAAAATGTGGCTCTCACCTTAGCGCCGCGCACGTTCATTGTAAATATTTGCAAAACAGCTTGCCGAATGGAGGACGGCTCGCTTTCAAAATGTTGCTCTCGCCTTGGCGCCGCGCACACTCGTCTTTAATATTTGCAAGAGCTTCACAACATAAGGGGTTTTTTTTTTTTTTCAAAATGTGGCTCTCGCCTTAGCGTCACCCAAACTCATCTTAAACAGCTGCATGGGCTTCGCGGATGGAGGGCGTTCCTTTTCAAACTGTGGCTCTCGCCTTCGCTCCGCGCACATTCGTCTTTACACTTTGCAGCAGTTCCAAGGGCTCTCATGGTACGTCCCAGAAATGGTGTTTTGGCACAATGTCGGAATGTCAGGGCGAAGCAATTACGTTGATTCGCGATGCTGAAGTCCCAGGAACGGCGTTCTCGCACGACTGAGGATCGTCAAGACGCAACAGTAAAGGTTAATCGCGGCGATGAAGTCCCAGGAATGGTGCTCTGGCAGAGTTCCAGATTTTCAAACGGTTGTCTTCCAACGGGGCATTTCCCCTAGTAGGAATGAATCCGTCTAGGGTCCTACAAAGAGGGAACTCGGGAGGGAGGGTTGATATCAACATCGTTGATGAGTCTTGGGTATGCAGTGGCCCTCCTCGTCCTCCTCCACCTCCTCCTGCTCCTCCTCCTCATCATCATCACCATCATCACCCTCATCATCACCCTCGTGCTCCTCATTGTCCTCCTCCGCCTCCTCCCCATCATCATCATCATCATCATCATCATCATCATCCTCATCATCCTCATCATCCTCATCATCCTCATCATCCTCATCATCCTCATCCTCATCCTCATCCTCATCCTCATAATCATCATCATCATCATCATCATCATCATCATCATCATCATCTTTCATCTTGCATCAGCATCAGCATCATCATCAGCCTCAGCGAGTCAACATCAGCATCAATCCCATCATCACCATGTCATGCTATTTCATCCTCCCTCGTCGCCAGCCCTCCTCCTCCCTCCTCTCCTCCTCTCCTCCTCCTCCTCCTCCTCTCCTCCTCCTCCTCCTCCTCCCTCTCCTCCTCCTCCTAGCCCTTTCCTCTCAGGGGTGAGGTGGGGCGCAGACTTGCTGTCAGAACAGCTGGGAGAGAGGCCGACGAACTTCGCGAGCGGCGTCAAGGCGGAGGCCGTAGGAGTTCGACAACCTCCAGACAGCGCCTACCCAGTGCGCGGCGGACCAGGCGGGCCTCAACTTCTCGACGGGCATGGAGAAGGAGCAGAAGCAGCTGACGGAGAAGAAGGAGGAGGCGACGGCGCTGGAGGAGAATCAGCACAATGAGCAGAACATGTCGCACGCGGAGGAGACGGCTGCCAGTGGTTCAGCAAGGTCACGCAGGAATCGCTGGGCCAAGAAGGCATGAACGACTCGGATGTTCCTGCTAGCGGCTACTTCAGAGATTTGCTTGGCTTCGGTTTACGGTGGGGGGGGCATTTGTTTTATCCTATCACCCTGGGGCTTATCATGCACAAACCAATTCGGACGCCGTCTTACGGCCCCGCAAACAGAGCTTGCACGGGCCCGCGGCCGACCAGGCCCAGACCCCGAAGCGCGACCGTCACTCCGCGCTCAGACCAACCACTGGCCTGGGGTCCGCCATCCTGGCCGCCCTGGCGGCCCTGCCTCGCTCCTGAGCCTCAGCAGCGCTGGCAAAGCCGAAAGAGCCCAGGGCTCCCTCGAGCCCTGGGCGAAACAGCCTCCCTGGGGCAGGCGGGGCGGGCAGTTCGCGGGCCCTGACCAGCCGATAGAGACGGAGGCGGTGTACAAGGGCAGCGAAGATTAATCAGAAGAATAAGCATATGCGGTTATGAAGCTATGCCTGCTGATGCCGGTGGGCTCTCGGGCATTGGCATCAAGGCCAGGCGGGGCTGTAGCAAAAGCACGGTTAAGCGTAAGGACAAGGCCAAGAGCAAGGGCTGCGCCAAGGGCAAGGCTCCAGACCTCGAGGCCATAGCTGAGGGCATTGAGGCGGCGAGGTTCGTAGCATTGGCCGGGCAGCGCTTTGGCCCGAAAGTCCATGCTTGTTCCAGCGAGGAGGCCCTGCAGAAGGCGGCGGGGGCCCGAGAGGCGCTGAACCGGGGGAGCGGGTGGCTGTTCGTGGCTGTTCGTGGCTGTGCGTGGCTGTGCGTGGCGGCGCGGCGGTCCTGTTCGGCTCGTGTCTCCTCTCGGCCGCGGCTGGTGTTTTCGCAAGTTCGGGGCGGCGGCGGCAATCCCAGGGGCCAGCCCTTGCATCCGCTGGAAAGTCTCAGTCGCCGTCGGGTGGCTCTAAGCTTTTCAAGGAAGGGCATCTGCTCGGCGCTGGCGCCTCGGCGTCGGTCCGAGGTACTATCCTGAAGTTTTGAAGGCTGGGCACTGGCTCGGCCGCATGCTCCTCGGCGTCAGCCGAGGTGCTCGCCCAGCGTGGCGGGCCCTAGAGACACCGTATCATCAGCAGCCTCAGCAATATTATCCTCCTCCTCCTCAGCGGACCTCATCGGACCTTCTCCTCCTCCTCCTCCTCCTCCTCCTCCTCCTCCTTATTTCCTCTTCCTCCTTCTCCTCCTCCTCCTCCTCCTCCTCCTCCTCCTCCTTCTCCTCCCCCTCCTCCTCCTCCTTCTCCCCATCCTCCTCCTCCTCCTCCTCCTCCTCCTCCTCCTCCTCCTCCTCCTCCTCCTCCTCCTCCTCCTCCTCCTCCTCCTCCTCCTCCTCCTCCTCCTCCTCTAACCTCCCAATCATTATCATCGTCATCGTCGTCCTCATCGATTCGAGCAGCAACCCCCGAGAGTGCTGGGCTGGCTCGGTGGCGGAACTTGCCGCAGGCAGCTGGATATTCACAACTCAGATCGGGCGAATGTGCCCGGCGAAAACGGGGCTCAATGATCGAACGCAAACGGAACTCAAGGCGATCTCACGCGGCCACAGAAAAAATAATGCTTCCGACGAGCGGTGCGACAATCTGTGCATCACAAGGCCTCGACCTCGTGCATGGCGCACCACGTCGCCCCTGGCTTCACGCGCTGCGGGACTGTGGCGAACCCGGGCTCCACGCATACGTACTTCCTCTGCTCACCGAGGGGCAGGTCTGGGAGCGTGTGCCTGTTGTCGTCGCCGATGTTCCAGAGCACCCAGTCCGGCATGTTCATCTTTGTCAGGCGCAGGCGCCTGTCGCCGTCCTTCACCACGATAGCGTCCGCAGTGCTGCCGTACAGGAGCTGGATCTCAGACTTGCCGTCGAACGTCACCTGCTCGCGGTCCTCGACCTCAGTGCCGCGGAAGAAATCGCCGATGCCCACGTCAACCGTCTCGCCCTTCAGGCCCTCCACGGCCACATCGGTGCAGGCCTCACAACGGAAGTACGTGTGCAAGCACCCCGTGAACTCAAGCGGCTGCGGGCCCGTGTTCGTGACTTCCATCTTCAGGCGCAGGGACTTGGCACCCAACGAGACGGTGTAGATGAACTCGAACTCGGATGGCCACTTCTTCAACATCTCGGCATCCGGTACCAGACGCAGCGACACCGCGTCCTCGCTGACCTCCGAGACCTGCCAACGATTACTCTGGCGGACGAAGCCGTGCTTCAGCTTGGGCGCGCCCGTGGCAGCCTCATCGAAGGTGCCGAACTGGGGCCAGCAGATCGGCACGCCGCCACGGATGGCGGTGCCTGGCTGCCCCAAGACCGCCTCGGAGCTCATGAACAGCTGCTCCCCCATGTCGGGCAAGCGCCAGCTCAGCACATTCGCGGCGTAGACGCTCACGTCGCAGGTCGCCCCGCTGGCATGGCGCAGGCGGATGCAGCCCTCGCCTGCTGCGGAGACCGTGAGCGGGGCAGCCACAGGCGGCGCGTGGAGGACTCCTGCGGACGCCCGGGCTGCGATGACCCCACGCCGGGCGGCGCCAGCCGGCCTCAAGCGGCCACCGGCGGCCCCTGCCAAGGCGGCGCCGGCTCCTGCGGCCGCGAGCAGTGCGGGACGCTGCTGCTGCGGCGGCTGCTTCAGCGACGGCGCGTGCGACTGGCCGCGAGTGGGCCCGAGCCGGATCTTCTGCTCCAAGAGCCTCGACGGGGGCGCGCCCTGCTGGCCGGTGGCGAAGCTGGATGCGGAGGGCGCTGCAAGCAGGCAGCCGACGACCGCACCTGCGCCCAGCGCGGCCTCCGAGGACTTGACCATGGCTGGTGCTGCGTGCCGCTGCAGCCGGGTGCGCGCGGGCGACTGTGATGCACGGAACTGCGGGAGGGAGGAGACCACAAACACTTGCACCAACACGGCACAGTGGCGCAACTGGCACGCCCCCAAGGAGGCGCGAGGCTACGTCGCAGTGCGCTCCAAGGAGACGCCCCCCCAAGGAGTCGCCCCCAAGGAGAGAGGCTCCCCCTCCGCTCCGCTTGACCAGGGTCCAGCATCGGATCAGGACGCCAGGTCGAAATTTGGACTGCCGTCGAGTCTTTTGACATCGGGGCCAAGTCGGCACTCTGGAATCGGAATGAGATCGGACATCTTTGAGTCGCGTCGATACCGGACCATCTTGGGGTCATGTCGACTCAGGTCGGATCTATCCCAGGCCGCTGGGAGGGGCCCTGGCCCTTTCAGAGTTGGCGGCGCGCAGAAGGGGGTGGGGGTGGGGGGAGAGGGGAAAGCTTCTTAGAAGCAGGGGTGCTTCCAATAAAAGAAGAAAGAACGGAACACACACATGAACTTTCGACGGTCCGCGCGGATTTCTTGGATCTGCCCTGGGCCCCCCTCCCTTCGATCCAAGAGGCTCTCCCCCCTCCCCCCTACCCCCCCCCACTCTGCGCGTGACCGACAAAGCCCCTTCGAAATGCCTTCCGGGCCCTTGCGAGGCCGCCTCGCGGCCCTTTCGCGGCAGCTTCGGGGGGACCCGCCAGGGCCCCTTCCACCTTCGGGGGGACCCTCCGGGGCACGAAACAAGGAGGCAATCTCTGCCGCAACGCACGAGGCTGCCGATCAATGCGCCAACAGAGCAGCAGCGGAGAGAAAGAGTAAAGCACTGGGAAGCGGAGTCGGATCGGAATCTCGCAGAGTCGGAGCGGAGTCTGCCGCCCCACTGGGGTTCTCTTGGCGAGCCGGGTATGGCCGAGTTGAAGGTGGGGTCTCCCGAGGATGCAGGTGCACTCATCTGGTTCAGGCGAGCGCTCATACGCGCCGACAGTGCCAAATTCGTTAGCCCAACGGGCTAAGTGCGTGCTAAAGCGCGTTTCTTCATTTTCGGCTAAAACGGGCGTTATGGGGGAGCGGGGCTGGAGGGGGCTATGACGTGACGCCCCCACCACCCGCCGCGCGGTTCCGGCGCCACCACAGCGTCCGCGCGCACGACGACGACGGACGACGACGACGACGACGACGACGACGACGACGACGACGACGACGGCGACGACGACGACGATGACGACGACGACGATGACAATGACGACAATGACGAGCGACCACCACGACGACGACGACGACGACGACGACGACGACGACGACGACGACGACAAGCGACCACGACGACGACGACGACGACGACGACGAGCGACCACGACGACGACGACGACGACACCGACGACGACCACGACGACGACGACGAGCGACGACGACGACGACGGCGACGACGACGAGCGACGCTTCCTGTGGTCTCTGGAGGTTTCCCGAAGCCTCTGGAGGCCTCCTGAGGCCTCTGCAAAGCCTCCAGGGGCCGTCCGGAGGTCATCTTCCAGAGGCCCACGAAAGCATTCGAAAGCGTTTGACAACGACGCGCGACCGCAAGTTCTGACGACCGACGACGAAGATGACTGACGACGGCGAGGACGACGACGACGAGCGACGACGACCGACGACGACGACGACGAGCGACGACGAGCGACGACGACCACGACGACCACGACGACTACGACGACGACGACGACGACGACGACGACGACGACCGAAAACAAAGAGCGACGAGGATTTGTGGCGAGCACAAGATTGTGAAGGCGTCGTCGCCTCCACGTGGCGTATGAGAGGAATGCTCCTTACCTCCTCCCTCTATCCTCGTCGTCGTCGTTGTCGTCGTCGCCGTCGCTCGTCGTCGTCGTCGTCGCTCGTCGTTGTCTGTCGTCGTCGTGGATCCCACTGCGGATCCCTATGCAGATCCCTATGCGGTGCTCTATAAGGAGCCCTGGAAATACCAAGACGGATCCCTATGCGGGTATCGAAACATACCCTGGTAGAGGCACCTGCGCCCGTGGCAAAAGTGAACAGGTACGTGGCCGAGGACAAGGGGAGATCAGGACGCCCAGGTCATTTGTAAGGACCTCAGGCGGGAGCGCCATGCCTGAGCAAACGATGAGGAGATCAAAAACGACAGGGACGAAGAGGTTGAGGAGAAGAACCAGCGGGACGAAAAGGGGCGAGGATAACTAGGAGGAATCTTAGTATCAAGGGCATGAGGATGAGGAGAAAGAGGAGGCAGGGGAATCACACAAAAAGATGAGGAGGAAACACACGAGAAGAGGAGACAACATATCCAGGAGGTGGAGTGGGATGGGGAAGGGCGAGAAAGAGGAACCCGTGGAGCATGAGGAGGAGGAGGACGACGACGACATCAACGACAACGACTGCGACGACGGCGATATGATAGTTATGATGACGAGGGTGCAGGACGACAGGATCAGGCCGGTGATGATTTGGAGCCACACTGGCCAAAACAACCCTGTTTGGGGATACTGGGCCCTGGATATTTCCCAACCATCATGTGATGTTGGGTCCTCGTTTTGAAGAGACGTCGCCCCGCGTTCCTCCTCCTCTCCTCCTTCTCCTCCTCCTCCTCCCATCCTTCCTCCTTCCTCCATGCGTTTCACCCACCCAGTGCAACGTTTCGTGGCCCCATAGGGAGCCCCACCGAAGCCCCCAGTGGGACCTCCCGCATGCCTCCCCCGCATCCAATTTGGCATTTTCACCCACCCAGTACAACGCCCCGTGGCCCCGTAGGGAGCTCCACCGAAGCCCCCAGTGGGACCGCCCGCATGCGTCCCCCACGCCCAACCTAGCATTTTCGCAAACCCACTACAGCGTTTCGTGACCCCATGGGGAGCTCCACCGAAGCCCCCAGTGGTACCGCCCACAAGCGCCCCCCACATCCAATTTGGCATTTTCACCCACCCAGTGCAGCGCTTCGTGGCTCAATAGGGAGCCCCACCGAAGCCCCCAGTGGGAGCGCCCGAATGCGTACCCAACTTGGCACTGTCACACACCCAGCACAACGCTTCGTGGCCCCATAGGGCGCTCCACCGAAGCCCCCAGTGGGACCGCCCGCATGCGTCGCCCGCGCCAAGCTTGGCATGTTCACCCACCCACTACGGCGCTTCGTGGCCCCATAGGGAGCTCCACCGAAGCCCCCAGTGAGACCGCCCGCATGCGTCCCCCACGCCCAATGTTGCATTTTCGCCCACCCAGTACAGCGCTGCGTGACCCCATAGGGAGCTCCACCGAAGCCTCCAGCGGGACCGCCCACACGCGTCCCCCACATCCAATTTGGCATTTTCACCCACCCAGTGCAGCGCTTCGTGGCCCAATACGGAGCCCCACCGAAGCCCCCAGTGGGACCGCCCGCATGCGCCCCCCACTCCCAACTTGGCATTGTCACCCACCCAGCACATCGCTTCGTGGCCCCATAAGAAACTCCACCGAAGCCCCCACTGGGACCGCCCGCATGCGTCCCCAACATCCAATTTGGCATTTTCACTCACCCAGTACAGCGCTTCGTGGCCCCACATGGAGCTCCACCGAAGCCCCCAGTGGGACCGCCCGCATGCGCCCCCCACGCCCACTTTGGCATTTTCACACACCCAGTACAGCGCTTCGTGACCCCATAGGGAGCTCCACCGAAGCCCCCAGTGGTACCGTCCACATGCGTCCCCCGCATCCAATTTGGCATTGTCGCCAACCCAGTACAGCGCTTCGTGGCACAATAGGGAGCCCAACCGAAGCCCTCAGCGGTACCGCCCGCATGCGTCCCCCACACCCAACTTGGCACTGTCACCCACCCAGTACAGCGCTTCGTGGCCCCATAGGGAGCCCCACCGAGGCCCCCAGTGGGACCGTCCGCGTGCGTCCCCTGCACCCGATTTGGCATTGCCACCCGCCCAGTACAGCGTTCCGTGGCCCCATCGGGAGCTCCACCGAAGCCTCCAATGGGACCGCCCGCATGCGTCCACCACATCCAATTTGGCATTTTCACCCACCCAGTGCAGCGCTTCGTGGCCCCATAGGGAGCTCCACCTAAGCCCCCAGTGGTACCGCCCGCGTGCGTCCCCCACAGGGAGCTCCACCGACGCCTCCAGTGGGACCGCTCGCATGCGTCCCCCACACCCATTTTGGCATTTTCACCGACCCAGTACAGCGCTTCGTGGCCCAATAGGGAGCCCCACCGAAGCCCCCAGTGGGGCCGCCCGCGTACGTCCCCCACACCCAATTTGGCATGTCGCCTACCCTTTACAACGCTTCGCAGCCCCATGGGGAGCTCCCCGAAGCCCCCAATGGGGCCGCCCGCGTGCGTCCCACACGCTTAATCTGGCATTGTCACCCACCCAGTGCAGCGCTTCGTGGCCTCATAGGGAGCTTCACCGACAGCCCCAGTGCTACCGCCCGCATGCGTTCCCCCCCCCGCCCAGCGCAGCGCTTCGTAGCCCCATAGGGAGCTTCACCGAAGAAGATATTCACAATTGTGGTGCCCACAACTTCATATGGTTAGGACCCTCGCCAAGATAATTTGTTGTCCTCCGAGGTCGCACGGGCTTTGATCGGCTCTTGCGGTGCGATATGGTGCGTCGGCCGACCACTGCCGGTCTGAATGGTGTCGCGGCTGCTCGCAGCACCAGAAACAGATGCGCGAGTCTGAACCTTGGTGTCGCCCGAGCGACGCTGCAGAACAATACTCATCTATCGGGCAAATGTGCCCAACGAAAACTGCTCACGGATCGAACGCAAACGGAACTCGAGGCGCTCTCGCGTGGCCACAGAAAAAAACAATCATTCTGTCAAGCGACCCAGTACCCTTTGCATCACAAAGCCTTCACCCCGTGCATGGCACACCACATCGCCCCTGCGATGTCTCCGGCGCCCGAAAATCGGGCGGGCTTCTATCGGCTGTGGAGATGCGATGCGGTGAGCGACCGCAGCCAGTCCGAATGGTGTCTCGGCTGCTCGCTCCACCAGGGATCGATGCGCGAATCTGGATATTGGTGCCGCCCGCGCGACACTGCAATGCAATCCCCGCCGTTCCCCCCTGGAGGCGTGGTAGAACGACAAGTAGTGGCTGGTAGGGGTAATCTTCTACTGGGTCCCTCCCCGTACTGGCGGCGCGCGGAGAGGGGTAGGGGGTGGGGGGACGGCTTCCTAGGAGGAGGCTGCGTCTTACTTTTTTTAGGCGCGGGCCTTGTCTATAGATGTAAGGCCAGC